GAGCCCAGGAGTTGGAGGTTGCTGTGAGCGTGATGCCATGGCACTCTACCCAGGGGGATAGCTTGAGGCCCGTCTCAAAATAAAAAAAAATGTTCTTCCCAACTTGATCTATAGATTTAATGCATTTCTGATCAAAATCCCAGCAAATTACAATAGAAACTCCATAGTTGACCACCCTTCTACATTGACCACCTCTTTAATCAGTCTAGACATCTACCACCTGTACACATCAGGACAGTGTGCCTAGTTCCTTATGTTAACCAGTGTCTTACAGTCCCATGGATGGTCAACTTACAGAGAGGTCCTACTGTATTTTATGGATATCAACAAATTCATTCTAAAATTTATGGGTAGAGCCAACATAATACTAAGGAAGAATAGTCAGAGGACTGACATCACTCAACTTCAAGACTTACTACATAGCTATAGGAATCAAGATAAAGCAGTATCAGTGAAAGAACAAATAGATCAATACACCTGAATAGAGAGCCCAAAAATAGCCGACATGAATGTGTCAGTTTTTAGAAAGGAGGCAAGGCACTGCAATAAAGAGCAGATAGTTCTTTCAACAAATTGTGCTGGGACAACTACACGTCTACATTGTAAATTTACAAGAAAGAATCTAGATACAGACCTTTCACAAAAATTAACTCAAAATGGATTACAGACCCAAATGTAAAACACAAAACTATAAAAATATAGAAGATAACACAGAAAATCTAGACGACCTTGAGTATGGTGACGACTTTTTATTTATTTTATTTTATTTTTTTGAGACAGAGAGTTTTACTCTGTTGCTCTGGGCTGGAATTGGAAGTGGGCTGGAAGTGGGCTGGAAGTGTCAGCCTAGCTCACAGAAACCTCGACATCTTGGGCTTAACCAATCCTTCTGCCTCAGCCTCCCAAGAAACTGGGACTATAGGGACCCAGCACAACACCCAGCTAATTTTTCTTTCTTTCTTTTTTTTTTTCTTTTTTTTGAGACAGAGTCTCACTATGTTGCCCTCAGTAGAATGCTGTGGCATAACAGCTCACAGCAACCTCAAAGTCAACCTCAATTTGCTTGCCTCAGCCTCCCAAGTGGCTGGGACTACAGGAGCCCACCAACATGCCCAGCTATTTTTTGATTACAATCGTCATTGTTGGTTAGCTGGCCCTGGCTGGGTTTAAACCCGCCACCCTCAGTGTATGTGGCTGGCACGATAACCACTGTGCTACAGGCCATGAGCCTGCTTCATTCATATGAGTTAAGAGTTCTTGTTTATAAAATGGACAGTGGGTGTTCCAGGTGCAGATTGCAGTTGTGGACTACAGCTGCAGGTGAGAGTTGGGGGTGAAGGATTAAAGACCTTGCCCTTAATAGTACTGGGACATAGAAACCTGTTTTTAGGCTCGGCACCTGTGGCTCAAGTGGCTAAGGCGCCAGCCACCTACACCTAAGGTGGTGGGTTTGAATCCAGCACGGACCCCGCCAAAACAACAATGACGGCTGCAACCAAAAAATAGCCAGGCGCTGTGGTGGGCACCTGTGGTCCCAGCTATTTGGGAGGCTGAGGCAGGAGACTCGCTTGAGCCCAGGAGTTGGAGGTTGCTGTGACCTGTGATGCCATAGCACTCTACCCAGAGGGATAGCTTAAGGCTCTGTCTCAAAAAAAAAAAAAAAGAAAGAAAGAAACCTGTTTTTATCTTTGTCTGAATGAAATATCATATCAAGTGTAAACACAGAAATTGGATGCCATCAGAGTTGCTTGCTTGAATCTGGGATGAGAGGTGGATAGAGCAGCTCCCCTAAACTGTTCTAGAATAATTCAGACACCTGTCTGGAACCAAAGGTTTGCCAGAGCTGACTTTTCATAAGTGCTGCTCCGATATCCTGAGAGACTTAAAATGGTTGTTATCCTTGCCATTGGGTAGTTACAGAATGACCAGCAATATTGCTGGAAAC